CATTAACTTAAGACTAGGAAGCAGTTAAGGTCAGAGGCATGGATCAAGACCTGTTGGCGAACAGCTGCTAAAATTCCAGCATCAACAGTGCGAATCTCATTCTGTATCTTTTGCATAAGTGGCTCAACACCGGATAGAGATGCCTCTGGATAATATAGAAAATAGATGAGCATAGAACCGAGCATTAGCAAGAAGAACTGAATACCTGGTAAGTTCATGAACTTGCTGGAACAAAAGCACACAAAAGACAACAAACGGAGGGGGGGGGGGAGTTACAGAGTTTGCAAGTATGAAATGCAATCGAAACGACAGCCCATGCGGATTGGAACTAGGTTTGCAAGTAGGACATGGTTACCATTGGGAAACATCTGATTGATATACTCCAAAGCACTTGACTTGTCCATTGCTGATAGTAGATGAAAACCCACCTCGACGCCCCTAATACCACGTTCAATCCAAGCACCAACAACGAAGATTCAATATCTAGATCTCATATATTGCATCAAGCTCTCGGTGAAAAGGGAAAGGATGCCAAGTTCAAAGGCGAAGAGGGGAATTTGGAAGATGAGAGAATGACACAGAAAGTAAGCACCCACCACAGTGGCAGCAACAGCTAGAAAATCAGAGCTCCAAATCTAACATTTATTCATGCACTTCTTCCTGCAGATCGAATTGCAGGGCGATGCTAGCAGCCTGAATTTGGATCCTCTCGAGCATGCGCCCTCTTTCGTCATCACGCGGTCAGTCCCATACTAGGGGCGAATGTCAAATTCGAAAACAATAAGGACTAACAGTGAAAATTGAACAAGAAATCAACAAAGAAAAAGGGGATAATTTCAGTTAGCCCACAAAATAAATGTAATTTCGATTAGTCCTTGTAAAACAATAGTCCTTGTAAAACACTAGAGACATCACTGCACCTTTAGACCAAAATAAAATTAAAAATTACGGGTGTCTTTTTTTAAAATAAGATGAGCAAGGGAGGTTTTGACTTTTAAACTCATGATTCTTTGGCACATCAAAAGAGTTATGACTAGCAAACCATCCAGTTGTTCAATCATATGATGCAAAGAATTACAACTCAAATTCGATGGTTTACAAGAAATATAAGGAAATTCCTTTTCAAATTTTACTCAAGAATGAAAGATATGAATACAAATAAATAACAAGATCTTTTTTTGGTTGAACTTTTGATATTATGCGAGTCTAATACTCGACATTTAAAAACTGGTGAACCAATAAACTGTTTTTTTTGAGTAATTATAATGAGGAGAAAAAAGCTTTTATGTTATCTTGAATAAATTTATTAATTTTCTAGCAAAATAAATACTTCTCTAATTTTATTATCTTTAAAGCATTGGATTTCAACAAATCCTAATCTACAAATTTTGGGAATGTATTGAATTAATTCTAAATTTTTTTAAGTTTGCTCATCTTGCCACATATAAACTTTTTAAGTAGTTTTGGTAAATTATCATTTTCTAGACCAAATGGAAATATTTTTAAGTGATTCATTTTTGCATTGGACAATAGACTTCCCTAGCTTTCTAAAGAGTTCTACTTTATAATTTTTGGAGATGTATGAAATTCATTATGAATTTTGAAAATAAGACCACCCTTCTTCTTTAGCCACAATGAATGTCACAAAATCTACATATTAATTGTGATTTTCAATTAAAAACTGGTGATATTTGTTAGGCTTGATGGCCTAGTACACCCACCTAAGCCCAAGAAAAATGCCCAAGCCAACCCTAATAAATAGGTATTTTCAAGCCAGAAGCAACCAAGTATGCTGTCCTATCAATTTTGCCTTGCCTAAAAATATGTGATTTTGTGCGTTATAATAATATATAGTATAATATTATATTACATTTTAGCTATCATTTTTAGTTTTAAAAAATTATCTTCCCTTCATGTTGCTTTTTCTTTAATAGATTATGGATGTTATTCAAATTTGAAGTATGAATATTTATCTATCTATTATACATTTATAAATCTTGCAATAAACTGATGAAGTTCATTTTATCATGTAGCATTAGTCATCTTGAACCACCGAGCACTTAGATCAAATATTAGGAGTTGTTTTAGCTTAACCAAAGGTCACAAGTTCGATCTTTTGGGTAGGATCGCTGCCTATATAGGTCCTATCATGGCTCGATCATAATTAGTCTGATTTGTAATGGAATTTCTAAAGGGTTGGTCAGGATACTGGGTGTGTAAAAACACATAACCGTTTAAATTAACAACACTCGTTTAACATAATATTCTTGAAAGCCAAAGCCACCACAAATTGTTTGGATGCAAAGTCTAAAGAATTCTTATATAGTTAAGAAAAATCGTATTCCACAAAATAATGCATGACAACAAATGAATTTTTTGGGCAGAGAGAAATAAAATTTGTAGAAAGGATTTCTTTTCTTTTTTTTGGAATAAAGGTTGAAGAATATAAATAAAATATTTTTGATAGAATCAAATATCTTGTAATACACTTTAAATATGTGAAGTAGTGTCAACTACATTTGAATCCTTTTCAAACTTAGACATGTTGTCAACTACATTTAAATCATTTTCAAACTTAGACATATGTCATGTATTGGATGTGGAGAGAAATTTCTAGTTTGTCAAGGGATACGATAGTATTTCAAATTTCAAGACTCAAGTTGTAAACTTATTTTAAACTATTTCAAGGTGTGGGATCAAGAAATGTATTTTTTAGATATAACTAGCATTTCTTCCCCCTGCGAATTGGTGACAATCCAAATATTATTCTAGCATAATGTAAAGATTGACATTGACTTTTATTTATAATCATAGCGAATGACAATATTATTGGCAATTGTCTTCTCTTGAAAAGGAAAATGACTATTAGAAGGATTTATATCCATACGATGAATAAGCACTTTCTGATATGGTTTAGAGGCATTCAAAGTTATCGCTTCAATTACAAATTTTCCTAGATGAGTGACACGCAATCTTGTTCCATTGCAGAGCCCTGATGCTTGATCAATATTCTTAGAAGCATAATAGGAGCTCCAACCTTCAATTCCAATTTGTGCATTGGCATACCAGAGCTGTTAATTATATTTAGAAATTCAGCGGTGTACAAGTCTTCAAAACGGTCAGTATCGTTGAATGATTTGCATACTGAGTCACAACTCAAATATTCGATTGATTCACTAGGTAATAAAGAACACACATAATCATTCACTCGGTTGACGACCTCAATTGTTGGAATCTATGATTGAAGTACTTAGTGTTTGACAAATTATCAAGAAAATCTGGATAAGTAGATGACATAATAGCATTATGTGGTTCTTCATAATTTTTTATTAGTAATTCAGATGGAATTTTAATTTTAACTGTACCATGATGTGGCATCCCTAAATTACCATCTTCGACATCTAAAAGAAAATTTGAGAATTTCTCTAGAGATTGTTCCTCCTCAATTGAAGAGGCTGAAGACAACCGTATGTTCTTAGACAACTTGAAAATTATGCAATAATCCCATAAATACGAAGAGCTAATACAAGCATTAACAATATCTGCTCTTGTACCTTTTAGTATTATAGGAAGAATCTAATGAAAATCCCAACCCATCAAAATGCACTTTCCACCAAATGGTAAATTAAGATGCATTATGTCCCTTAATGTATGATCAAATGCTTCAATGCAATAACACTGAACCATAGGAGCTTCATCCTATATGATTAGCTTAGCATGAAGTATTAGATTAGCTAAAGCAGAATTCTGTCTAATGTTGTAAACAAAGTCCTCATTAACTTGGATAGGAATTGCAAACCTTGAATGAACTGTTTTTCCATATAGCAATAATGTAAGTAATGCCATTAGATGCAACAACGATAACAATGTCTCCCCTAACTTGAAGAGTTGATGTCAAAGCATCCCATAGAAATGTTTTACTTGTTCCTCCATAGTCATATATGAAGAAAAAAGCTCCATCAGAACAATCTAAAGAAGATGAGACGGTGTCAAATCATTTTTTTGCTCTATATTAAGTGACTTAGTTAATACATTTGCCCCCTCTTGCAGTGCAATGCGATCATAACTTAACTCCTGTAATATAAATGATTCCGGGTATCAAGCATCGGAGATGATGAAGGTCTTGGTAGTATAGGGAAATCCTAAAGACTCCTCCCCTTCTCTTGAAGAAATAATTCAATCTCCTTCAATGCAACATCTTCCCTCTAAGCATCTAATATATGTATTCCTATAGCAAAAGACAATACGTAATGAACTATGCAATCATAAAAAATTACAATGTTACACATGATTAGTTTCTATTTCCTCCAAAATTAAATTATTACTTACTTGATGACATAGGATCACGATGAGGAATGTATAGTAAATCTTCTGAAGTATTTTAAAAGTTTCCTTCCACACAAAGTCAGAGCGACTTAGTGAAGAACACAAAAGCACGCTCACAAACATCCTACGTAATGATCTTCTAGACGCCGATATTGATGCCTCTTTGATGGCATTTATACACTCTATATCATCATCTAACACCTAAAGTTGAAAGCATGCATCTCTGAATGTTGAATGAATAACACCATCAATAGTTTTGATCACTTCAAATAAGGGTGGACCTCTAATCTTGGTTAGCAGAATTTGAAGATAGCAAAGCTTACCAGATGATGGAGAAACATAAGTAATCTTACCAATTGCAAAGCCTTTTTCTCTCCATTTCCAACATCGTTTGTTTTTCTGATAAACCAAATGCTAAGGGAACTCAAAATAAGTTAGTGTTTTAGCAAGGTCATCGTGAAAGTTGTTTCCATCCAAGCAATAAACATAGACTCACATACCCTAGGTTTGTCTAAAATATCTCCAATGTCATCAGCACAAGAGTAAACTACGTATTGTTGATTAGGTGAGTAGAAGCTTAGCCTCTCTACAACAGGATATCTATGGTGGATATCAAATGCAAATATATGCTGAGCTGCTTTACATGCCGAAATATATCTAAAGTTGTAATACTGTTAGATCTCATCAACGGGATGTTCAGAAGACCCATCTTCATTGTTGTCATGTATGGCCGCAACAACCTTATCATTACCTTTGCTAATGTACTTGAATAGGTATTTATTTGTAGAGAATTGATTACACTTCTCTACATTGATATGAGCTTGGAACATGAATAACAATGTGGGGTTATACGGCACAACAAAACGATTGTCCAAGTAGATACCTTTAACTTTAATTATCCTCCCATCATCTCTATCTGTCATCATCAATAGTTATATCCTTATTGAATTGTTTAGGAAAATATTTGCTGCACTTATGATCCTTCATACAAGATAATTTAGGATTTGTTCACCCACATGGTCCATGAATCATGAATTTCTTCACTAATTCATAAAGGTAAGGATTTTCATCTTTATCAGGGATCTCTGCAGAAATGACCCTATCGATGTCCTCTGGTGATTTCAAGTGATCGTGTCGATCTAAGAATAGCAAGACATATGCATGCAGGAGACCTTTTTTTTTTAGAACTCAATCGTGTGACAATTAACTTATTAATAACATGTAAGACATATAAATTTAAGCATGAATACTTGAAAAACCAAATAATGCCACGTACCTACAATGACAGTGCCAAATATCTTCTTATTCTTCTTCACAGTCTCCATCAAATCTTTGAGCTTCATGTGGAATATCCTACTTGGTATTTCTAGTCTGTCTGTAGGAGATAGTGTTTCATTACCCATTAGTCTTGAAATCACTAGCCAAGCAGGATTACATGTGAAGGTAATGAAGATGTTTAGATAACTTGCCCATCTACAAATACCTATTGCATCTTTGTAGTTTTGCACCATATACCATGCTTCTCCTATGAATGATAACGGCAAAATTATCGACTTACCAGTTAAAGTAGCACTTCTCTCTCTAGTCAACAAAACATTTGTCAAGCCTTGATATAAATCTACCTTTAACTCTTTTTGATGAGTTCTAACTCATAGTAGCCTTTTGAGATTCAATCGTGATGTACCCATCAACAATAAATTGGTGTAACAATTTCCTAAAGTACAATAGCGTTGATGTCTTATTTCCCTCATCATCAATCTATATGCAAAATACTCCCTAATACTGAGCCTTTTTTTCTTCTTAGTGGCATTAAAAGTCTCCTCATGATGTTCAATATCATCTCTATAACCATCCTCACTTCTAGGGAACAATATTGGATATTAAAGAGAAAGGCAAGAGACATATAGTTCATCAATTCATTGTGGCAAGCCAGACAATGTATGAACTATAATGTTCCTTCTATTGAAATTCATGTCTATATCACCAACTATCAATGCTGCAATCTTAGAAGCTGATGGCAAATTGTAATTATGATCGTCGTGCCTTCTAGTACTGATTAGACATATTTTGACATCAGAGTGATGACCATCCACAATCATAGATGACGCTAATCCATACTGTTTAATGAAAGGATTAACCTCAACAAGCATTCTTTTAATCTGATCAACAATCTCATTGTCAATGGCTAGATCCTTTGTGTGCTTACTATATGGGGAAAAAAAACAAATCATACATAAATAATTTATCCCATAAGCTAACATCATAATTTGAGAGACAATCTTATTATCTATTTAATAAATTTAACATACCTGATAGCAAAGATACAATTATGCACTTCATTGTTTGTATCATATATGTAAAGTTATGAATACACAGGCTTGGAGCCTTTAGGAGGCAAGAAACTTCCAATCCTATGATAATTCATACCAAACAAGATAAAAGAGTATAGACCACCACCACCACCATAATTTTTTGAATGATCAATTTTTCCTCCTATTGATGTAAATGAGAACATGTTGTTATAAGTTCTAATATTTGAATGGAAATTTTTTTAAGGTTGTGACTTCTTATCGAAAAATAATTTCATGAACAAATTTGGAGGAGCAACAATGGGAGGGAGTTGAACTTTCCCTTTAAGGCAGCACATCGAGAATGATGGATTCCTTACATACTTAGATGAGCAATTTTTTCAACAAACCACATTATGCACCACACGATTAACATTTAAATGTAGGATCACTTATGTCAATATAATCTACAAGGCCAATATCAAAGTGAATGACAGATAAAATATCAAAACTACGGTCACAAATATATAAAAATATTAAGGGGGCCTTCCTAACCATCACATGTAAATGCACTTCCATTTTCTCTATTTGAGTGCCCTTGATTAGGTTCAGCAACGCCACCATTAGAGAAAATACTAGCATTTACATTACAAACATATATAAAAAAAATACATGTTCCATATATTATTAACTAATATATAAATAATGCTTCTTACCTTAATCATGATCTGAGTCATTCTCACTACCATCGCTATCTTGATTATTTCGTCCATTGAAAGAAAAGTTAATGCCCTTATAATGTACTTTTGTATTATCTGAATCAAAATGGCACAAACATAAAATCTTAACATAAATAACTTCATGAAACACTTTTAAAGGTGTCAAGCTTTGAACGAAATAAGTCACACAATAAATACATTTTAATCTAGAGTGTTTGCATAAAAAATGAACACCTATGAGATTAAATATTTTAATTTCAATAGATTAAGTCACATGATAATAATGTATGAGAGTCTTGATTAATGCAGTGAATATTAACAAAAATAATTACTACAAAATAAAAGACAAGTGAAGATAACTATATATGGGGTGAAAAAATAAACGACTTAGATTTTACCACTTATATATTATTTGACTGCTCAATCTAGTTAATAATTTATATTTTAATACATACATACTTATATATTGTGGGACCAAATTATTATGAAGATTTATTGTTAGTTGAAATGTTGACTTTTGAAATTAAATTATTAATCAATGAAAACAGAATTTTTTAATTTAATATACCTATAATGTTATACTTGTATAATGCACAAGATTATTTAAATTAGATTTATAGAAGTGAACAATAAATAAAACAAACAGAAGAGTTCTTGTCTCCCGGATAGCAAGTGATATAAATGGTTTAGTTATTACTATTATGGGGTGAAAAAATTATTCTAAAAGAAATATTGTGAATGAAATAGTATTATATAATAATTTTCAAAGCTGAGGTTTGTCTTTCACTTTTTAATGAAATTATATTTAATGATTAAACCAATGTTTTAAACTTGTTCATATGAAACAATTATACTGAAACTAACAATGATGATACTAACGGTGTATTAACTATCATTAATCGATGGTATTTAAATCTTTAGCCTTAAGAATATCTATCCAATTTCATTTAATAAAATCCATTATATGATTACTATAAAGCAACAATTTTGCAATGATAACCCATATTAATACTAGAAATATTATTACTTGGAATAGACTCTAGTACTAAAGAGACCTCCGTCACTTGCTCATAATTTTCAAATGCACGTAATCTACTACTTCTTCTCTAACCACACTATTTTTAAACTCCACATCTCCTGTTATTAGGCTTTGTGTAATTCTAGAACTTAAAATCTAAGTTAGTTGCAATTTGGATATGTCTTGTAGTGC